TGTATCAGCTCGCGAACTAGCTCATTTAGATCACGCTAGATGATCTGAGTTCGAGCTTATATTTTATAGTTGCAATTAAGGCAGCTTTCAAAGCTAAAGCTTCTCCAATCAAAGCCGAAGCAATATTACTCCTTGATAACGATGCTTGATCTATGATCCTTAGGCTTGCGTCTTTGAAACACCAACCTAAACCGCATTCCCGAGTTGCAGCAATCCAGGAAGCATCAAGGAAACAGAAAGACAGCCTGTGGTGGTAGAGACGGAGCACGATGAGGCCCTATATTTGGTCTGGATTGAGTCACGCCAACCTGTGCTTCTTGCCATGCTTTGGCCTTTTTCAATGATCTCAGCAACACCTCATCAGCGGAGGTACGACGGTTTTCAAATAAGAGTTGGTTCGAGCTTTCCAAAGGTTCCATAAGCCATGGAAACAGGGGAACGTCCGCTAGTCCCATTGGGGGTAAGTTTATGTGTCGACGCGCTCGGTCTAAGAATTGAGACATAGTAATTGGGATTCGACAGTCGTGTTTGAACAAAATTGGAGCCAAATCCCACACCTTAATTGCTAAGGGGCAAAACAAGATGATATGTAACTCATCCTCCTCCGCATCACACTGTTTGTTCAACTTAAAAGTTTGAAACAGAGGATAACAAGTTCAAAGCTTGTTTTGGAATCGAATTGGCCAACATATTGAAAATTGCAAACAACACATGACTTTGATTACTTGTTTTTCCCAATAGTTTTGGGCGGGGCGCCTCGGGAATTGCAAACAACACATGCACAATATTACACAAATGTTCTATTTCACATTGGTTATTCTCCAATGACGACGAAATTAGATTAAACTATAACTATAAAGAGCATGATTAACTAAGTAGACCACCACATTTTACCCAATTGCTACAAATAGCCTATATAATGCTTTACAGGACTAGACTCCACAACCTAACAAACACAAACACAAGAAGGTAAGGCCCACATAAAGTGATCGATCACACAGCTATAATCCACAAACACAATCATCCAATTCAGATACACTCACATAAAAAAAAAAAAAATCATACAATGGAAACTCAAGTGTGTGACCCAAAAAATCTAGACTCCACAACCTAACCAACACAAGAAGGTGAGCACGTGCTTCACTAACCAACTAGAAGAACAAACAACGTGTGACCCAAAATCTAACCATGTAAAAAGCCACAAAGTTAGATTTCATAACCCAACCAAGTTAAAAACACCTACCTACCGGGTTCCAAGACACAATTAATCATCGAATACCGGGTTCCAAGACATCAAGAAAATTCAAAGTGTAGACATAACTCAATGAAAAACCTAAAAATCCACAAGTTTTGAGCTTCGGTGAGTCTTGAACATAATCAACTAAAAAGAACAAACAATGCATAACCAAAAGACCTACAATTTTGCTACATATATAAACATACAAAGTTAGTTTCCAT